TTTTGCTTCATTTATTTCTAATTACAAAGTATGAATTAGTATAATCCCCTATATCCTCACCCATCAGTAGCCTTTCACCCCCTGCCACTTTCCTCTCTGATGACACCACTGATCAGAGTACTCTAAGTGGGCTTTGTTGGGCTGTCAGCAACTGTAGTTTTCATTTTCCTCCTTTGTTCATGAGGGTTAAGTTACATTAGGAGGAGAATCTTCTGTGAAAGATGTCTGTTATGTAATTATGTTTGTATTATGGTCATGCCTTTGCTAAGTTTGCTTAGTTGTCTAAGCATTTCCCTCTTTCTCACCATGTGAATATCATCTGCAGGCCCAAATTTTCAATCAAACGGCGGATAAGAATTAGAACTTTACAGTATGGAACTGCTCGTAACATTAATGAGCTTTATGACAGTGTTGATTCTGAGGTGGTTCTTTCAATTCTGGTTCACAAGGTATCTCTTTCCTTCTCTTCTCGTCATCTATATGTACATTTTTATTCCAAACGTAATTCCAGTAATTCTTAGAACCTTATATAATGTAGGTCATTCAAGCTTCTCTGGAACAAGGTGTTCGAGAGGGTAGAATGCTGCTTCATGATTGGCTAGTAATTCTTACAGCGCAATACAATGATGCCCTTAAACTCGTCCAGTATGGGACAGGAACTTCTAATGCTGTTCAACAAATTGATGTTGCATTTGCACAATGCCCTCAGTTGCAGCCTATGCCTCGCTTGATCTTTGCTTTGCTTAGAAGTCCTCTGCTTCGTCTGCATGAGGAGGGGGTTCATCCTGATTACCGGATATTCTTGCAATGTCTCTTCAGGTATTTGGTGCACTAATGATTTGACTATGAATGATTAATTTTCTGCCACTAAAATATAGAGTTATGTATCAGTTTTGGAAGTTGGAACTTTTGGACCCTGGCATAGTTTCATGATTATACATAATCTGTAGTCTCTTCCATTACCAATCCTTCTGAGTAGGGCTCATTTGTGCACAAACTTACCAATGTGATAATTATATTATAAATCCTCTTTTTGACCCTTGATCTGAACACTCAAGGACTCTCAACCTAAATACTTGGTTCAGTTTAGCAATTTAAATATTTGTGCAGTAGTTCACAACCAACTAAATAATCCATTTTACTGTCTGGTAGGTTACTTGAAAGACTGAAATAATCCATTTTACTGTCTGGTACTCCGTAGTATTTTATTTAATATAATTGCGTATATCAAGCACAAGAGAAACAATTGCAATTGGCCAGCCCCCCCCCCCCCCCCCCCCCCAACTTTTTTTTTTTTTTTTTGGGGGGGGGGGGTACTATTGCTAATTGCTATGACAGCATTAGTAAGTTGGGACTTCGGGAGAGCTAGTTACAATTGAGGGAGGGAAGAAAATCAGAAAGAAGTCTGCATATAGAGGAGGTTATTGAGAAGGAAGATAATGACAAATTCGTAGACCACTTTACTTTTATTTGCCTGGAGTTGCAATTGCCCTGCCTCTCAAAGGATGTGGATTGCAAACCCCAGTTGATGATTCAAATACATCATATTCATTTATTCATATTATTATCAACTATGGTCTTTCCTCCAATTCTCCATCTCCCCCACACCCTCATTTCTATATTTCTAATTTTCTTTTTTAATCACCCAAAGATGTGTTCTTTTTGGCAGCTGTCCCAATCCCCTTTATATTTGGCAGTTCAACTGAGAACTTAACGTTTTATTTGTCTACTAATGCAGTGCCTTGGACCCAAGTTCTCTTCATTGTGCTGTATATCCTGTGTTGACCTCGTATACAACTCCAGATACACAAGCATATCCACGCCATTCCCTGAGCCGTGCTGCGTTAATAACCAGTGGTAGTCCAATATTTCTCCTGGATGCATTTACGACGCTGATTGTGTTTTATTCATCTACTGCCGATCCTGGATTGCCTTTCCCACCACCTCATGACTGTAAGCATTGTTCTGAAGATATATGCTTTTTTCATACTTCTGCAAATGCTATGAGTTCTTATAGTTATTTCATTGTTCTCTCAGGCTTACTAAGGACAACTATAAACAAATTGAAACAAGAGAGAAGTATTACACCAAAACTCTTATTTATCCGGGGAGGGCAGGATGATGCCACAGCTTTTGAGAACTATCTAATTGAAGAACAAGATGTTGAGGGGTCTGGCTTCACTAGTGTCATGGGATTTGTTTCCTTTTTGGAGGATATAAACCGTAGTGTGTTGGAGTATATGAAGTAGATGAGATATAAGGATAGGTGTGCCACACTATTTATACTTTGCAGAGAAAAGCAGATTTCAATTGTGAAGTCTATGGAAATAAAGGCTCTGAAGAGGGAAAAGACTGATATGATCAAGGTCAGCCAAGCTGGTAATTTAAGAACTTGGTCCCTAGTTGAAAGTTCGTTTTAGTGATATCAATTTGCTAGGGCACCACTACTAGATAAGATCAAACGACGACAATTTTTATACATGAAGAGGTTTGAAGCATGAAAAAGTGTATTTGAATGTGGAAAAGCAGGTTTAGACAGATTAAACTTTTTTGTTCGCGGCAATCTTCCTTATTTAAATTTGTGAGCTTGACTCATTATGTAGAACACAATAATATTTTTTTTCCTGGATAAATGTACATTGTTATTAGCATTTGTTCTTGGCCTTGAATGCATACTACGCTTCTGCGTTTCTTAAAATTAGTCATTTTGTCATCGTCAAGAACAACACCTCCCTCTTGCAGTGTATCTACATATGAAAACCCAAACTACCCGTTTTGCTCTTGACGAACTTTGAACTCTGAGACCTCAATTCAGCCTTAAGTTGGCGAGTGGAATCTCTAACCAGTAACCACCCCATCTTTTACAGAAAAATAAATACCTTTACATCATTTTTTGAAAGTTTTCTGAGATGCTAAGTTAGTTAAAGATATAACTATGTAATCACGTGATTTGGCTAAATTCTTTTTATACTAATTTTGTAAAATGAGAAAGGAACCCAAACTTAACTTTCAACAACATAAAATACAAATTTATATACTTAAGTGGTTTTATTGCAGAATATCCAAATCAATTCTATCTGATTGATTAAAGAAAACGAATTAGATTGGTGCACCTCTTAGCATAAACCAACAGAAATATTGATAAAAGTAGTTTGTTTTGTTAGAAGATGCCAAACGTTGAAGATTGAGGAAGAAAGTGTTATTGGATTTTGACAAGCTAAGAGTATTTGCCAAGAAAAAAAAGAATTTGATCCCATTTTATTTCTTTTGAAAAATTGCACCAAAGTTACAATTTTAGTGGCTTAGTTTGAAATGCTTACAACAATATTTCCTCTATTTTCCACACTTGATAGTTGGTTCCCACTCCAGGGATGAATTAGCATAAATTCCCCTTCAATCATTAACCTCTTAAGTCTCGCTTTTCGATTAGTTTATCCCTAAAATCAACCTATAATAACAGCCTTGCATAAGTAATACCTTGAAGCAAGCAATACTACCTGTGTTATTATCAATAGACACTTGAGTTAGTCGCGTCATTAAACACTTGTGTTAGTCAATTTCATGGATAAGAATGGTTTTGAGTCTGAACAACAGCAGAGTTGCTGTGAAAAGCTCTTCATTGCTATTCGAAAACCTTCTCCTTTCATCCGACCCACTCGTTTTATCTCCCCTGTCACTCTGAGGGATCGTTGTGTTCGAGTCCCTAGAGTTGATAATGTCACCACTGAAACCCCTCCAAATGTTATTATGACAACCACAAATCTTAATGATCGTTGTCCTAGAATCTCCAAGCAAACTGTGACACCACCAGCAGCTGATAGCAGGAAACAAGCAGCAAATAAGGTTGCAGTTATTCAAGATCATAAAAGAAACCATCCACGTGTTTCCTCGCCAATCAACAATCTACCCAGGCCACCAAAGACAACTATGGTTCCAATAGACGGCTGTGAAGATACAATTCCAGTTATTCCTCATGCAAATGGGGCAAAGTCTTATATAGCAGAGAGTATTAATGGTATGTCCTCTGAATATATTGATCGTGTTGGGAAAAAGATTAGAAGCCCTACAAATGTGGGTGCACGGGATAGTTTTAATGATCGAGTTAATGACTATATAAATCGCACTAAGAACAAGTTCCATACCTCACCTTCCTTCAACGAGGGATCTGAAGGTAAACAGAAGCGACTCAAGTAGCTTTTGGTAGTTTTATCAGGGGGGCTGACAGGTACTGAAATACTATTGCATTTTGTATTCTGTGTTGCGCATTTGTGTGGTTTATGCTGTGGTTCAAGCTGGGAATGATTTATATCAAGAAGTCGAAGCTATTTAGGGATACGTTTTAGAGATTATATAGAAGAATTGGGCATGAGTAACTACGCTTGACATGATCTTCACATAGGTGCTGTCAGATGATCAGATGGAGAGGATTTACGTTGAGAAGATATCAAATCATAAAGTAATTATAAATTTTCTATAGTTTCTACTGAGTTATTTTATATGAATGTAAAATTCCAAGTAAATAACATCTAACTATATATCCAGTTGAATTATTATCCAGTTTCTTGAAAAAAATGTCAGCTGTGTTTATAAATATGTGCTCTTTCTCGTTATTACATAGATTGCAGTATATCATGTATGCTAAATGCTAACTAGGATAGGATGCCTCTAAGGATGATGGAAACCTCACTTAATATCTTCGACGTAAGAAATATTTGTAGACCTGGTGAATTGAGGAGCATCAGAGTCAAGATGAAAAACCAGCTGATAGATACATCTGCCACTGCTCTGCTCACCCTGTTATAGCGTTATATAAGCAAACATCAGAGCTAGAAGGCCTAAAAAAAACATGCAATAGATCATATCTACACTTTATTCTTGAAACCATCCTTGCCTAATGTCATCACAAGTTTGCTCCTTACATCCCCATTGTTTCCTATAATTATTTTTATATATTCTAACATCTGAATGAACATAAACACACAGGTGCCTGTAGACATCAATTAACAGCAAACAAAAATTGATTACTGAGGCAATGACAGGTTACAATTTCTATGAAATCTGAATTTCAGTAATAATTCACCCCTAAACAGAGGATACACATTATAAGCTCCCATCAGACTAGTGCCCTTAGTTATACAGGAAAAGTAACATCGAGCACACTAATGTAACATTTCATTCATGCTAGTCAGCTCTGTCTGTAATTCTACCCTAATTATGTCACACCATGTGTTAGCTGGAAGGTCAGCCAGACATGACGTGCTATGGATTACAGAAATTATACTCAACTATCATAAGAATCATCCTTGTTTTCACTAGCTTCCTCCTCGTCTTCGTCTTCATCTTCATTGTCTTCATCTTTTCCGTTTTCCACAACCGCCTCTTCATCTTCGCCATTTTCCACAGCTGTCTCTTCATCATCACCATTTTCCACAACTGTCTCTCCAGCTTTGCCATTTTCCGTAGCTGTCTCTTCATCTGCTTTCCTCTTCTTGTTTTCTTCTTTTGCCTTTGCTGACCCTGCTCTCTTTACAGCAGTTTTTTTCCTAAATTCTGAAATTAAGCTGGTCAGGATCCCCAAAATCTTGTACCCGTAATACATTTTTAAATGCTAAAAGATTGTTCTACATCCTTAATCCACTTCAATATTAGCAGTAGAACTGCAAATGAACATGCAACTTCACAACAAATAGGGCATAGAGCAACAATCTGTAGCTTGGGACTAGAGGGGCTAGTGTTACCCTCTCACAGTAAGCAATTTGATCTAGGATACATTCAGACCTGAGCCGTTACAGAATTCCATTCATATTGTTCAATGTACTTTTTGGGGGTCTGATGGTTGGGTCCTGGGAGGGAAAAGAATTTTGACTCCGAATTGAATTAGTTGAGGCACAAAAAAATACAAAAACTTTTGTTGTATACTATAATCATGCAAATCAATAGCAACCTAAGATGAACAGTCAAGGAACCAGCAAAAAAAGGGCTTATGAATAGAAAAAGAAGCAGGACTTAAGCTTGTCCGATTTCCAGACATATCCAAGCCATATGGCAGTGATAAGGAATACGCACGTAAAAACCCTAAAGTAACACTATAGAGCTTATCATAAAGTTGTCTACTTATCAGTCTTAATTATAATTTCTTTTGTCCACCTGCAGAATAATGAAGCATTAGAATTAAAAAAAAAAAAAAAAAAAAAAAAAAGAAAAAAAAAAGCATTAGAATTAATTCTCATACTTCAGGTTATCTGCTACGTTACTATCTAATACATGGATAAACATCTATTTCTCCAATCTGCATCAAATTTTTAGAGATTCCTTGAAAAGCCATATTGAAGTGTAAAGCCAATATGGTGATTCTTAATACAAACTAAATAGCAGATCAATCATGAGAAATTCTCAGTTGAGACGAGCAAAACAGCATCTGAAAGCAGAAATGCCACTAACCATTAAGGGAGGCCCTCAGTGGTTCAATAAACTCAGAAAACTCAACTTCCTCGAGAGCATTCAACACATCATCAGCATTAATAATCTGCCTGTTTGAATCACTGCATATGTCGTGTGCCCTACACATATTCATATCAAACTATCCATCAGCAAAGCAATCAAATCCCAAGTTCGAGAAACAATACCTGGAATAATTTCAACAAGACATACTTTCCACTTCCCACTCTAGACAGATTTACAAAGACCTCTTCCCAAATTTCTGAAAGTGACTCTTTGGATAACAATTCTCAATAGGATCAGCCAACTTACACTTATGAACAACCAAAGAAACCACATACGATTCGAAAACCGATAACAAACACCTCCAGAAAGATAACCAACATGACTACTAACTGCAAATAAAACTAGGTCAAGCTACCCTCTAATAAAACTAGGTCAAATTACCTATATTTTAAACCATATTTTGCATAAATAATCATAAATCTGCAATCTTTATATCATACAATTACATGATTGACAATCAATTAACCAATTCATCTCCCAGAAAGCAATCAATTTCGACATTTTCAATTTTTTCAAAAACCCTAACAAAACCAACATCAGTAACAAGTAAATAAGCAATCAAAACCATCGAATCGAAAGAAATCCATCAACTAGAGAGAGAAAAAAGAAGGAAGAAAGAGTGAAAGAGAGAGAAAGAGTACGTGGCGGATAGATAGTGGATGAAGATGCGAGCACTTTCGGAGAAGGCAATGAGAGCTTCCTTGTGAAGAGTAACATCGCCGCCGTCAGTGGAAATCTCAGAGAGCTTCTCTTTCACGACTCGCCGTACGATCGTTTTCGGCAACTCCTCTGCCTCCGGCGCCGCCGCCTCCACCACCGCCGTTGCCGCCGGCGCTTTCTCTTTTGACATTTTGATTTTCCTTTTTAGTGTTTTGCTCAGTTGATTTACTTGCTCGATTGTTCGGTTAATGAAGTATTGTCAATTCCCGCCATTTTTAGTAGGCTTTTTAAGTTGGGCCAAGTTAGGTTGGTTGAGAACAACAACAAAAAAAAAAAGTTAGGTTGGTTGAGTTGATAGTGGGTTACTGGGTTGTATACAGTTGGGCAAGGGTCGAGCTGACACAAAAGCCGATCAAGCATGACACATAATTAACTTGACTCATTGTGTGTTATGAGTTAAGTTACTAAGGTTTAACCGTCTAAGAAATTAGCTGACATGACACGAGTCGGCAGTTGATAATGACATGATACAACAAATGGTTTAGTAAGTTTATAAACTCCTTTTTTTTTTTTTATTATTATTATTATTATTGGTTTAATGAATGACACTAGTTAGACACAACACGACATGACTTTTTCTTGACTTGTTCTAGGTACGATCCACTTAAGCACAAGACTTGATATCATAACATCTAGGCCTACAATCTACATGACCTAAGTTATGCCCATTTTTAGGGTTTTCCATTGGATGTATTGACCATTAATTTATTTTATGTCTATTTGTGGATCCCATGTCAATTCTCTACACCATAGGATATAAGAAAATATCAACAACAACATACACAATGACATAGATAATGATTGAGGCCTAATATCAAGCTTTTTACTCACAATATCAAATTATTATATTAAATCTATATTTAAATTATAAATTCCAGTTAATTCTTTTCACAAATTATATAATTACTAGATGAAGTCCGTGCAATGCACGGTTTATTTGATTTTTTTTTTTGGTATTTATGAGCTAAAATTTGTTATATATTTAGATAAAATTCCTAATATTAAAAGATATTATTTAATATTTAATTAATTTAAACTTAAAAATCTCATTCGCCAATTTTGCTTACGTGGCATTTGAATTATTTAATTCTAAAAGAAGTTAATAATCTCTTATTTAATTGGATACTACTAAGATTTATAATCCTACATGGTGCGCCGAGAAAATAAAATCCTACGTGGCTCTCTAAAAACTCGGGAAAAAACTCCCCTTTATATATATATATATATATATATATATATTAGATTGTATTAAATCATAACACATAATGTAAATATTCTTAAATTATGTACGAAGCCTAATTTTTAAGTGTTATAATTTGATATTAAAAATAAAAAGTACTAACAAGTGCTCACAAAAAAAGGAGTATAAAGATTACAACCAATGAAATATTTTTAATAATTGGGAAGTCACTAGGAAACGAGTTTCTTCTAATAACATCCATAATTCTTAATGACCAAGTTATATCTATGTCGTATAGAACCTTCTAACCAAATTTATTTTATCACAAGGCTGACCAAATACCCTCAACTCAAATTTGTCACAATCTCTTAAATAAGAAACTAGTTGACAAATTTGACATAGTTTTCTTAAGACCCTTATTTCTTAATTTAGTAAATCACCTTTAACAACTTTAATTAACTCGTCTATTATTGAGAAAATACAAATGTATCACTTTATAAAATTACAAATTGTAAATAAATCAATAACTTTTCATTATATATGAACCCTTTAGCTATTGATATAATTACAAAAGTGTTACATCTAGCCAAATATATTGATTTATTTACAGTTTTGACGCTTCGTTTATCAAGGTGATAAGTCGGGGCTCCCTTTCGATTACAAGCACCTAACCCACCGTCCACTCGCCCGCACCAATACAATCAACACAAGGCTCAATTACGCGCTAACTCTTTCTCTCTCCCCTTTATTATCCTTTCATTTCCATTTTCTTCCCCAAATTGAAATAAATGTCTTCATTCAATCCTTCAGCACCTCCAATGCCAAATTCATCATCTTCTTCATATAATCCCAGTAATTACAACTCTAATCCCAGTAATTATAACCCTAATTACAATTACCCAGAACCAGCTCAAAGCTACCATGTCAACCACCAATCATATCCTACTTCAAATCCCACTTCCACTCTTCTTCCTTACGGCGGTGGAGGCGGCGGAGCACCGGGTTATGGGTCTTCGTACAGCCCGTTTCCACTGGGTACTGACCCGGAAATCATTCGAAGTTTCCAGATGGTTGATAGGGATAGTAGCGGTTTTATCGACGATTCTGAGCTTCAAAACGCTCTTTCTTCTAGTTATCATCGCTTCAGACTTAGCACTATTCGCCTTCTTATCTTTTTGTTCAAGAACCCAACTGAATTGTCGATGAAAATTCGTATGTTTTCATTTTTTTTATGCCCACCAAATGTTTGTTGTTTTGCATCAATGAAAAAATGTTTTTTTTTAATACTTTGTTTTGGGTATAAAGATTTCACCTTTTTGAGTTTTTAATTGTGATTAGTTACTAATGATGTATGTTTAGGCTAATGGGTTTTGAATGGCTGATGCAGGTCCTGGTGAATTTGCTGCATTATGGAGTTGTCTAGGTCAATGGCGTGTAAGTATTTTTTTTCCCTATAATAATTATAAATACATGTGTTTTTTAGCTTAATTAATTGCTTAGGATGCTGACGGATAAATTGCTAAACATCTGGACTAATAATTAAGATATGTGGATCTAATTTGGCCTTTAAAACAATGCTTAGAGCAGCACAATGCAGTTTAATCTCGATTTGAAGTGCTTTTTTTGTTGCAACTGTAGTGTTTGGCCTTTTGAGAATCTTATTTGTTGCAGCGTGTTTGGCCTTTAAGAACAATAGTTAGAGCTGCACAATACAGTTTAATCTTGTTTCGAAGTACTTATTTGTTGCAACTGGATTGTTTGGCCTTTAAGAACAATGCTTAGAGCTGCACAATACAGTTTAATCTTGTTTCGATGTACATATTTGTTGCAACTGGATTGTTTGGCCTTTAAGAACAATGCTTAGAGCTGCACAATACAGTTTAATCTTGTTTCGATGTACATATTTGTTGCAACTGGAATGTTTGGCCTTTAAGAACAATGCTTATTTATTACAATTGGATTGTTTGGCCTATGATGTATGAATGCTTATTTGGTTTGTGTCTAGTGTTGTGGATGTCATTGAGATATTGGCAGCAAATTTGAAATGAATGGTATGAATTTTTCTGCTTTCAGGCAATATTTGAGAGATTTGATAGAGATCGAAGTGGGAAAATTGATTTAGAAGAACTAAGGGATGCTCTTTATAGTTTGGGATACGCTGTCCCTCCTTCAGTACTTCAACTTTTGATCTCCCGTTACAACAATGGAGGTGGCCAAAGAGTTCGGCTTGATTTTGACAGCTTTGTTGAGTAAGGCTTCTTGGCACTCACCGCTAGTGTTTTTCCTCTATATATGTTAGCTTCTTTCTAACCTTGAATTTTGTTTGATGTTGGATTTGCAGATGCGGAATGGTAGTAAAGGTAGGAATATAATCCCTTTGCTTTTGTTTCCTTAACTTTCTTAATGAAGGACACAATATCAACAGTTCCGGGAGCTTGAACAGAGTTCTTGCTATGAAAAATGATAATTAAATACCACTAAAACTTTATAATAATGCTGAAAGCTGACGGCTTTTGTGTTGTTTATTCATGGAATTTCTGAATCATCAAGGGCTTACGTTGTTTCTAATTACAGGGTTTGACGGAAAAATTCAAGGAGAAGGATTCAAACTACACTGGTTCTGCTACAATCACCTATGATGATTTCATGATGATGGTTCTTCCATATCTTGTAACATACAATTAATTAAATGTAACTTATGTGCTGTATTTAATTTATTGGAGCTTGTGATGTGTATGTATTATTTTCTTACTAATTCTTTGCTGTATATGGGTTTTATGGAGTTAGGTTATTTTAGACACATTATTGTAGGTTTTTTTGTTGTAAAAATGTGAATCTAAATAATAAATTTTTTGGGAGACCATCTTGCTGTATCATGCTTATGAAGTACATATTAGATATCACTCATATTAGAATCAATTGATGAATGTACTGCTCGTTGGTTTTCATATGAGAGTTTCCAGTCAGAGTCGCCATCATTCATCAGAATGCAGTTTGCTCTTCAATTGCTTGCTCGGTTAGATTAATTGTTACAGCAGTTGTTTACTTGCCTGTTTAATTTAATCCATTATCTGAAAGAATCAAAGAATTGGAAATTTATCAGACAAGGGAAATTTCAGAAAATTTTCTTTGGTTGATATAAGGTTTGTCTTTATTATCAGTATGGCTAGCTACCTGATAAGTTACTTCAGATTTCAGAATTTATCAACAACTTACCAAAAATCTCTGTAACATACTCTGGTACAATGGTACTTGTACTTCTATGTTATCCAATTCCTACGCACTACTGATTGCAACGATATTACTACTACATCATCTCTTACTTACAATGTTGGCGATGAAAATACATGGCCAAATCATCTTCTTCAAGAGTATATCCTATGTTTACCTCTCGCATCAGGTTGTTACCAAATATGTTTTCTTTTGGGGCTCCTCTATGGAGGCTCAAGCAAATCAATTGATTCTCGCTTTGTCGTTCCCAAAGATGAAAAGAAAACACATGAATGTCGGTAGTATAATTGAACTCAAAAGTGATCTTAGCAACCTCATCCAAGCTAACAGAATATAGCTGGGTCAAGTCATAGCAAAGCTCAAAGCCCTTAACTTTTCGAGGTTGGTATCTTCCTAGAGCACCCTTAATGGCTTCCACAACTGCGTCCATTATATTCGGGTCTAGAAAACTATGAGTAAATCCTGTGTCGAACATCATTTTAGTTGGCAAGACATCATTTTCCATAGGAATCCACTTTCCTGCCATATATACATTTGTAAGGCGAGCCATGTAGTATCGCGAATTATTTAACAAGGCAATTTTGGCACCCATGATCTTGGCTTCTTCGCCAAAGCTCAATATACCAGTGGCATCCTCTTCACGGGGGAAGCAATGAGAGAATTTCTTCACATTTAGCCTGTCGATCAAGTTTCCAGGACCACGCATGAGACCTGCAACGAACATGACCAACTAATGACATGTATGCTCAAAATAATGTACAATTTGCAAAGGGGGTAAGTAAACCTAAGGTCTATCTTAGGCTCATTGACTTAATAATCCTTAAAGGTCGTGTTGTTAGCTGCACCCAAGCCATAGTTGGTGTTGTTGATGTCAATTTTGCCTATAATAAATAAACTTTTTCGTGTGTCCAACTTTAAAAATTAGCAAAGGTATACCTAAAATGTTTAAGACGGCTCTAACCTGCAATGCCAGGAGTACTCGTTTTAATCCATCGAGGGATATAATTCGACGTTCCTAACCCAAAAGGCACAAACCGCACAGGCTCATGCCCAAACCCAACATATGGGTCTTGAAAGTAAAAAGTCTCGGTACCAATGACACCACTAGATGTAGTTCCATCACCATATTCAGTATGATACGAGCAAGGCTCCTTTGAGTCCCAAGGTAAGTCGAGACACTCATTGTGTGAAGCTCGAGGGACATCTCTACAAGTATCATCTTTACAATTAATTGCTTCATAGCTTTCAGAAGCAAAGTGGTTGTAGTATGAAAATGCGCCTTGTTCGTAGCAGGAGTCACATGGAATAGCTTGTACCCAAGTGAGGCTGCTGCCGGTGTCAATTATGAGCTCGGTTTTAAGCATTGGTGAGGATGTGCTATTACGACCTATCCCAACCGGGATCACTAGTAAGTGTTCATTGGTTGCATATGTATCTGAGATGACTTTGGAGGAGGAGAATGTTGATAGTGTGTTTGATGGTTGTGTGTTGATGTATCGTTGACGACGTCTATGGTGTACATGGGTGGAAAAGGAAATAGGTGAAGATAGTAATGTTGTTGAAGATAGAGGAGATTGAAGAGTTCGGGAGAAGATGGTGGGGATGAAGATGAGAAAGAAAAGGATGGTGAATAAAGTTGGGAAAGCCATGAAATAAGTTTTTCATAAATTTTTGTGTATCATTAGCTAGGTTAGTTTCTTTGATTTTGTACGGTATATATTCATACATGTTAATTATAGCAAGCACATAAAGTTCAAAGCATTTTCTTGGGTGTGCAAGATTATGGTGACAAAATCAAATCTGAAAAGTATATAGAGAATCGATTTTATGATTCTATGTACATCCTCTTTGTTCTGAATCAATAATCATATATATTTTATTGTTATTTTATGATGTAAGAAGTATATAAAACAAGTCTGTTGCACTTCCCATTTGTAATGAGTTGATTTCCTAATATACCTCTAAACTCTAATTGAAATGCCCTTTCAAAAAAAAAAAAAAATTACTCTAATTGAAATGAATCTAGGCATGATCTTTGATTAATTGCATATGAAAAGCATGAATGTTGAGTTGTTGCTTATAGGCTAGGTAGGTATAAAATGTGACCTAAATATGTTTGTTCAGTTGGATTTGGTCAAATTTGGGTTTAATCTAAAACTTGTCATTCTTATTTTGATTCTATACCTTAATCTTAACTAATTTTGAGCATGATTTGAAATTAAGAATGATTTCCGTCTCTAAGTTTGGACTTAGGAACGCACTTTTTTTTTTCTAAACTTGCCCATATTTCTATGTACGGGTTTACAAAAGGTATGATAATAATGTAATAAATTATTTAGAGTTTCGATGAACTTTCATTTAAACTTATTGTTGTAATAAATCATTTCAAACAATGCTGACGATTGAAATACATAGCAAAGTCATCTTTATCAAGTGTATAACCTATATTCATCTCCCTCATTAAGTTGTTACCAAAAACATTTTCCTCACCTTTAACAAATCCTAAGCAAATCAAATTAATTTCATTGATTCGAAGCCAAAGGTTATAGGAGAAGAGATCAATCCTAGTTGCATAGTTAAACTCAAAAGTGACCTTAGCTACCTCATCCAAGCTAACATAACTTAAATCGGTCATGTTGTAGCAAAGCTCATTATCACCCCATTTCCGAGGTTGATACTTTCTTAGTACATTCTTGATGACACCAACAATTGCATCAACTATTTCCGCGGTTAGATAAGTCCAACTAGTTCCCGTGTCAAACACCATGTTCGCGGGCAAGACATAGTCATATTCCACCACAACGCGCTCTCCTGACACGTACAAATTTGTCAAGGGTGCCTCATATCGTTCAGATTCACCATTTAAGGCTAATTTAACCCCCTTGATCATAGCTTCATCACCAAAACTCATTGTGCCAGTGTCATCCTCTTCGCGAGGAAAACAATGAGAGAATTTCTTCACTCCTAGCTTGTCGAGTAAGGTTCCATATCCGCGAGCAAATCCTGCCACTCCAGGAGAAGATAATTTTCGGCTAGTAAAATAATTTGACGTACCAACCCCAAATGGTACAAACTCCAAATGCACATTCCCAAGCAAAGATGTGTCTAAGAAGTAAAATGTCTCGGTACCTATGACACCACTCGAGTTAGTCCCATCATAATATTGAACATTGTAGGAACAACGTTCATATAAAGGTTGTGATAAGTCATCACTACACCCGACATGAGCCTCATAAGGCGCGATTTGACATATTTCATCCGTGCAATAGACAGGATCAAAGGATTTTGAGGCAGAGCTATTGTAGTATGGGAAGTTGCCTTGTTCGTAGCAGGAGTCACAAGGGAAACCTTGTAGCCATGTGAAGCCACTCGCGGTGTCAATTATAAGTTCGGTCATGAGCATTGGTGACGATGTGCTATTTCTGCCTATCCCTACCGCCATCATTATTCCACGGCCAGGGTTTGGGTGTACATCTAAATGGAGTTTTGAAGAGTAAAATGGTGACTTGTTTGATGAGTGTTGGTTGATATATCGAGGTCTATTATACACTCGGGTGGAAAATGAAATAGACTCTTTGTTATAAGGATTTGATAGGTATGGTTTGAGAGTATGTGACATGGTGGTTATTGGAGAGCAAGTGAGAAAAAGGAGGATGGGAAGAATGTAAAAAGTCATGGATTAATTAAGCTTGAGATGAATTTATTGTGGAAATTATCAGGAATAACTAGTGATTGATCTGTAGCTTAATTATAGCCTCAGATATTAATTTTGCAATTAAGTAGAATTACAACATTTTATTGGTGTGTACAAAATACAGGGGACATAGTCATATAAAGGACTTAGATATCATGATAGTAAGGTTGTATACCTTAATCTTAACCAATTTTGTGTATGATTTGTAATTATCTTAAATAGGATGAATACTTCATCATCTATTAGAATGGAGTTAGGAGTAAGATCATACATTTTCTTAAGTTACTCCATATTCTAGCTACTTGCGAACAACTTATATTATGTGAAATTGTCTAATTTTCCCTAGTTAGGGTCATTCCAATTAATAGTGTTATAAGAGAGTCCAAATTGCATTACATATGATACCGCAACATATTATTTAGACAAAATCTGTTTGATTATCTTTACATATTTGCTATATATGACTGAAAATTTACATTAGTTTACCCCTTAAAATGGACTTAAAAGATACATAACTCATTCCTCAAGATGCAATCACTGCATAATGGAGGTTGGACCGGTGTTAAATTTTAAGATAGTTAGCCCAAGATCATATGAAGAGGCCCACTGTTAGTGTAAACTGTCCTTAATCACTATTCAGTAATCAGTACAGTATATGTCATCAGTTGCAGGTTTTCTTAATTATAGAATCCAAACCAGATTTTTTTTTCGCAAGAAACATAATTCCTACCCTGGTTGTCATCAGCTTTTAATGAATTGTTTTTATGTGATGCATTATCATTGGTGACGCGTGTGATGTAGACCCGTATAAGTTGCATGAATTTTGCTTTTGACTAATCGGACAAAATGATTTGTTGCTATAGTAAGACCATAACATAAGAGGCATTATTGTTATAGAGTAGCACAATCATCTTAGTAGTATAAATGACTATTAATTACCATCTTGCATCATGCATGGTTTAGAACTAGAAGTACATGATGCATGTGACCATTATTCATCCCTAAATACATTGCCTACATTGCACATGCTACATTATTGAAATCCAAAATTCAAGGGAAGTACAGTGAAGACACTTCATATGCTTAGCACGTGCGCTACTTGTCAACCAAAATTATAGCATAATTCAAAGTTCAAACCACATGCTAGTAAATTGTAACTCATCTTAGACTAGACTAGTAACTTGTATAATAGTTACCAATTTTGTAGTCAAACTAATTTTAAAATTTCAGGTGATTTAGATTTTCCAAGAAATAATTCTCTGTTATTCATTTTACAGATTATCAAACATTATCCCATGATTAAGTTTCACTCAAACTCTTGATTACCTCAAAATTCATGAAAAGTCCTTCAGTAAGATTGCTTAAATTATACTTCATTCGTACTAGTAGGATTGTTGGAAGTAGATTACTCTACATTTTTTTATTAAGAAGGAAAACGGGCAAAGCTTACTAACGAAGAAACTCGAACCTAATCATCCTTTCGGTTTTAAATTAGCCATAAACAGCGGGTTTATATCTACTTAATTGCCTAAAAAAGCATCATATCCTTTTTCTCATTAATCAAAGAGAAAGCTGGTTATACAAAGTAACTCCCACTAGCACAAAAAATGTCCAAAAAATAAATAAAAATACAGTAGAAAACTTATAGATCAGATAAGAACAACAAATTTGACTTTAACAATAAAAAAACCACTAATTTTTCTCATTAATTAACTTAACTATTACATTTATCAAAAGATGTAAGATTCTAAGCTAAAGGGTAAGCCTGGTGTCATAAGATGGCTGCCAAAAGAATTAATCTGCTTATAATACATGTTAATGACACTACTACTACTAATATAAATCCTGCATTTCTAATTAAGGACCTTATTTTAAATGTTTCAGTAAAATAATGTCTGCTAATGTAAGCTTTCTGAGCAATGAATCTGGTGATGAACTTCAAATAAAAAGAAAAAAAAAAACTGTTCTGCAATTGTTAATTCACATGTATCGGAAATTGTAGCCTTCCTCTGCTGTACTCTCCCCTGCAGATATACAAATAAAGTACAGTTTAATTAATGTTTGACAAAACTTAATGAAAAAAGATTAAAACTTTGTATTAGTATGTTAATCTACTTGAAAGTACATACTGTAATTGATTAATATGATCAAATCGACAATTATTACAATGCATCGAAATCACGAATGATGCTCGAAGAAACAAGAAAATTCAACATTTGCAACATTGATACAACTTCAGGGACACATACATCAAGTTGGTTGAATGAAAGGGATTAGTACACTAAATATCATTATCACTTATCATGATAATTAAAACTTTTCACTAAAAAGTCTAAAAGAAAAGCATCTATTTTTCTTACTAGGTAGGTGATTCAAGGCTGCTAAGAAAGTTATGTTGCAGCTAATTTTTTTTTTTTTTTTGGGTCTGAGAGTCATTATCAATGTAGGGGAGAAAAAACAGAACATATGACAGTGTATACATACACTAAAGATTGGATTTTGATTCTTTTGGGTTTCAGTTTGATATGGCAGCTAACTGATTAGTTGTTGGTTGCTTTTCATACCTTAATAAACGCCAATTGACATGTAGACACATAACGTGTAAAGCAAACTAAACAACTACGAGTCTAAGACATCATCACCTGGTGTCCTCTTTAGGTATGTTCGGAATAGGGTTGATAAGTTCAGATAAGGTGACAAAACAAAGGCACAAAAAACCTCATGAGTCATGCCCAATTAAACTAGACTTGGGATATACTCGAAACTAGAGTTGATTTGATCAGAACCTAGATCGAAAATTACCAAGACTTATGTAATTAGTGAATAGACAATAAACCTGTACACGATATGAAACCATAGATCTATTTGCTTTAGGTTTATACTCCGTATGAAGTAAGTTCTATCAACATCTCTTATGATATCATACTTTTTGACAGGGATATTTTCATAAAAAGTTTTAACATACTATATAGCCTCGGATCCATATATATTGACCATATACAAACAGACAATACAACCATATATGTGCTTATCTTATCCATCTTGTTAAAGTGATGGAAGGAAAAGGAAACTTTTTTCAATGACAAAATATGGGCTCCCACCCTTAATCCATTTGATGTTGAAATCTAGCTACAACACCACTAATTTTAAGTAGTGGCTCCAGCATAATTTGATGTTACATGTTTATTCACTTGCATAATTAATTAATTAACCTAAGGAAAAGAAAGAAAGGTACATGAACTTCCTAAGGTTGATATTGGTTCATTGAAGATTGTCCTCATTAAGGGTTACATAAGCTTGTGGGTGGTTGGTAATTATCTTCCCTTTTGACAAATTAAAACGATAAGATAACGACAATTTTCATTATACGAGTACAAGCTCGAGAAAGATTGTGATAGCAATGACATCTATCTAATGATAAAGCTATGCTTCCGAATTTTTGTACAGAAACAACACTATTGAAATGACTGGGATTTGCATCATCAGAATTTTCTCAATTTATCAGACTTTTTTGGAAATATGATGATCAAGACTCGGAAATTTAGGATTTTGAACATGATTTTGTCAATCCCAAAACGTGCATAGTAATAAAATATAGCTGAAAAATGATTCGGAATAAAGGTCAAAAACAACTCGAAAAATCTATCTGTACTGAACCCGACTTTACCCGACCTAATTCAAGTATTCAACTGATTTGACATATCGACTTTAAGCTATACTCCATAAGAGATAAGAGTAGCTAGCTTAGCTAGAATGAACCACATTATATTCAAAGGGTTGGCATCCACCTAAGGTTGACAAGGCAAATCTCTCTTTTAGGAAAAGAAGCAAAAAGGTCAAGCCAAAAAGGTCAGCTTCGAAATAGAATATTACACAATCAAAAGCCACAGAAAAAGAAAATTACTCTTAAATCACATTTTTTGACGATTAAGGAAAAATATATTCATATTAGGTTGTGGTTTTAAATTCGGCGAGTTCTTTGAAAATTAATACAAGTATCATGAAATTCAGCAAACGCGACAACAGATAGATAGTGATACTACGGTGTCTCTTTCCATTCACAAGCCATCTTAGACATTAATTTATGTTCAAGACAGGAGAAATTCAATTATAAAAAGAATTCATATGCATGATTGCATATGGTGATCAAGACACGTTTAAATTATTATAGGAATATTTGTGGAAGTTTCATTGCTTTGAATTATTAATGATTCCAAACTCTTTATGATAAATGATAATACTCTAATACCAAATTTTCCAAAAGAACAAAGGAAGAGAAAGATGATAGAATTTTCGTTCTGTACTCAATCTTTCATGCAGGTATGTCGTATAAGGCAATAATTTTCTAAATGAAGCTTACATAATTTCCTAAATCCTAAGCGTGTTTTTCTGCATTATAGCGTGTTACATGAAAAGTCTAATGAACAATAACTTTTAATTACATGATTCATAAAATTAAATGAAACTAACATTAACATTCTTCTAGGAATCCTATGTATGAATGTATTAATGTCACAAAAAGAATAAAAGTCTAAGGAAAATTTTTGTGTCAAGGGTTAAAAATGCATAACAAAGTCTTACCTTTCTAATAATGCCATCCTCCTTCCCCAAATTTAGTACTCGTATAAACGATATGTAAAAATTCCTCAAGCAAATATAAATAACGCCGTCAATAAGCTCGACAAAATTGTGAATTTACACAAGTCCTGTAAAATCAGGGGAAAAAATAAATTGTGTTAGAAATTGAC